GGATTGGTCTCGTGGTCACATAGTTTGTGGATTTCATGAAACAAGATTCCATTTTATTGGTTTAGCTTGGCTTAATCTTAAACATATACAGAAACAGGAGGATGTATAATTTTTTTAACATTTTCCGATGAAGGGTTTTTCACTGTGGAAAGCTTCTGTAAAAGCCCCTTTCTTCAGATATGGGAGGAAGCCAAAACTGTGGCAGTATCCTTTCAGGAAAATCAAAAGAATGTTTGCACAATAGTATAATTAATATATTGGCAATGAATAGGACAGAATAAGTAGAAACAGAATGGTTTTCAATTGGCACGGATATATGGCATATTATCACTATATCTATTTACCTTGCATGCTAATATATCACATTCAAAACTGGATTAGATTTGAAGGAAGGGTGAAAACTGGATGGGACATCAACAATTTAAGATTTGCAGATGATACTATACTACTAGCAGGAAATAACAAAGATTTAGAGCAACATCTCTAAGGGAAGAAAGTGGAAATACAAGTTTAGAATTGCATACTAAGAAAACAAAAATAATGACAATAGGTGATTTACTTAACTTTAATCCAGAAAATGAAAACATATAGGCAAATATTTCCTATGCCTTGGATCAGTTATTGATTAGGGTGGAGATTGCAGCCTTGAAAGGTTAGCTATAAAGGAACCAAACAATACCCTCAAGAATAAAGATATATAATTAAATACCAAAATTAGGATTATCCTTGCCACTGCATTTCTAATTTCTGTGTATGGTTAGAAAGAAAGCTGATAAGGAGAAAATCAACTCATTTGAAATGCGGTGCTGGCGAATAGCAGATATCAGTGAATGGATCCTATTAAAAACCAAATCTGACCTCTCTCTAGAAGCTATGATGTCTAAACTGAGACTATCATACTAAGAGCAATCATGCTTGGTAGAGTGGAAGATAGGAAAAGAGTAAGATTGCCTTCTACATGGAAAGACATGTAATAAAGAAATCCATAGCCCTGATTTTTCAAGACTTCACCAGGGCTATTGATAACAGTCCCATACCCACCCCACCACACCACCCCTGCCCATGTTTTTTCTTGGTGTCCTGGTTTTTAGGCCTGGTCCTGGGTTTATTTGGGATGCTGATTCAGAAAACTGCATTGAATAAACCACATCAGTTCTAGTTTCTTAGATATGGTTATCATGATTTTCTATGAGCGAGCAAATAACAACTGGTATGGTTTATATCAGGGGTCCTCAAACTTTTTATACAGAGGGCCAAGTCACAATCCCTCAAACTATTGGAGGACCGGATTATAATTTGAAAAAAAAAAAGAATGAATTCCTATGCACATTGCACATATCTTATTTGCAGTGCAAAAAACCACTTTAAAACAATACAATAATTAAAATGAAGAACAATTTTAACAGATCTTATTAGTATTTCAATAGGAAGTATGGGCCTGCTTTTGGCTGATGAGATAGGGTTGTTGTTGTTGTTGTTGTTGTTGTTGTTGTTGTTGTGTGCTTTCAAGTCATTTCAGACTTAGGTTGACCCTCAGCAAGGGTAAATGACCTTGGAGGGCCGTATCCGGCCTCTGGGCCTTAGTTTGAGGACCCCTGGTTTATATTATGTATTTCAAAGAGTCGAGCTGATAAGGGAAAACTGGTGCCATTTTTTGAATCAGCAAGTCAAATATACCCAGATAGAGGGATAACATTTGAGGCACAAATATGTGTATTGGCCAGTGTAGGAGGGTGACTTGAAGGTCTCTCATTCATAAGGCTGTCATATGTTGAAGTCAACGTGATGGCAGGTAACAATAATAAAGCACTGTACATGTTCGGATAGACTGATTCAATACCATAGGGACCTCTATTAATTAATACAATTATGTAGAATGTTCTACAAGTTTGAGATTCCTACTTCGTGCTCAGAATTTTACTAAATAATTAATACACTGATTTTCAGGTAACATCAAATATTCACTTTTAAGAAAAAAAGACTAAGAAGACAATGGAACCAAATGCAAGTAATTAAGCACAAGTCAAATAATTGATGAATTATTAAATTATTGTTATTTCAATGAATAAATATCTAAATAAAAGAAGATTGTAACAATGAAAATGAAATGGACCAATGAAAAAAATCATCCTATGCATGCCCTGCAGTTTATTAAAGTGAATATACTTGGAACAATATTTTGCTTGGTTGGTAAATAGGTAGTCATTCTAAACACAAATAGAATAATGTGTAGTATACCTGTACATTATTGTGATATACAGGAATGTGTACGGAAATGGGCTGGCCACCTACCATATTTTGGAAAGTATTCAGTACAGCAGTTATGGATTTCTAACTTGTAGTTACAGATCCATAACTAGAATGATGGATCTGTAACCTTTCTGTATCCAATAATTCTTCATAGTCACACCCCACTTAAAACAAAAAGCAGCTCTTGATCCACCTTGAGAGCCAGCCACCAAATTGGGCCAAGGAAATTTGTTCAGCTGGTAATCAAGGTACAAAGAGGAAGCTGTTCCCATGCTCCTCCTTCCTGTGAGTAAGTCTGCAATCATCAGAATCAGGACCTCATCACAATTCCTTGTCACAGCCTCACTTGATGGCAAGAAGGTATGCAAATCATCCTCCATGCACCACTATTACCAGCTGAATGGAACTCCTCCATCAAATCTGGCAGTTGGCTCTCAAGGTGAGCTAAGAGTTACATCTCTTCAACTAAACTCAGGACTTCATCACATGGGGGTCTCCCCCCTCCTTGGTGCTGTTTTGTCAGCCCCTGTGGTGAAACAACAGGGATGGGGGGCAACTCTGATGCCCTACGCGTTGCTTCATCACAGTGCCATTTCCCCCATCACACAGGGCAAGCATCGCCGAGGTGGCACAGATCCATGCTGGCTCCATTGGAGACAGCACAACACGGGCAGTTTCCCGTGTTTGGAAGCAAGCTTCCTAGGATACTTCCACTCTGGTTGTGGGCAGGGTCTCTGCCAGAAGTCTAGTGACATTGCATGATGGGCAGCATGTCCATACATCACTGGACTGTTGGGGTAGTGTCCTAGAACACTAAAAAGGCCCCATGTGGCGAAATGATAAATTGAGTCTAGAATTCCGATGATAATTTGTTTCATCACTGATGCCTGAAATGGACTTTTATCTTTACCAATCTATACACATATTGCAATACCTGAGAGAGAGGAAGACTTTAGCTGTTAAAATTAGAGTACAGGCAGTTCCCAACTTATAAACAAGATAGGTTCTGTATGCTTGTTCTTCAGTTGAATTTATATGTAAGTTGGAACAGGTACATTTTAAGTGTGACTCCAGCTATCTAGCTGTCTAGCTAGCTTTGGATGGCATAGGGAAGGGTTAACACCCTGTAGTGTTCATTTTGCTGTTTGTGCTTTCACTTTCTGTCTCTGTGATCACTGGATTTCAAAAAAATGGCTTGTTATGGAAACAAGGATTGGTGATAAAGCTTCAGTTGAGACACCTTTTTCCTATAACTCTCTTAGGAGTGAGTTTCATATCCTAGAGTTAGATTTGTCTCACTTCCTTTGATCTCACCTCTGTTTTTAATTATGAGTCATTTGTAAGTTGGATGTTTGTAACTTGAAGACTGCCTGTACTCCATTAGGGTTCACATCTCTTACTTTTGAATTAGTACAGAGAATAGGTCCAAATCCAAACAAGTAATACTCCGAAAACCATACTCAGGGGGACCTGAATCCATTATTTTCATACAATGTGTGAACTGTATTTTAAAGAATCTATAATTCTATAAGAATTAGATCCAGTGGAATTGGTTCACTGGTTTAATAAGCCAGTTTAGTGCCAGAGCACATACTTTGCATGCAAATATTCTGGGATCAATCCCAGACATCTCCAGTTAAGAGAATCAGTTGGAGATGACAGGAAAGACCTCTGCATGAGACCATAAGCAGCTGCTGCCAGTCAGAGAAGCCCCAGCTCAGAGGAGAAACTAACCAATGTCTAGCAGCCAATTTGGACCCTAGTCAACACACCAGGGCTGCCCTGCCACAATTTGATGGCCATTTTTGAATTTTCTCCTGCTGCTGGAGTTGCTGCCAACATTTGATGGGAACTGTGGCAAGACTCTGTGGTGCAGAAAAGTTCCAGACTTTGACTCTTTCAATAGACTGGAGGGCAAATATCACCTTTCTTTCTGGAGACAATAAGAAAGTTGTGATGATTTGTGTGTGTGTGTGTATGTAATAAGTGGATTTCAATGAATTTCTATCTCCATTAATTTTTTTAGCAGGACTGGCCAGTATTGAATGCATCCTATAGGTTGCATGCTACTCTATAAGAGTAAATAATCTGATCTAGACACTTCCAATTATATTGCTTTGTATTGCAAGTGTCTTTCTGATGAAAAAATGAACAATTTTCTATATTCTTTCTGTGAAGAACAACGTTAGAAGTTTTGTAGAACTCACACGTTCTTGTTGTTGCTATAACACAGGGAGCTGAAAATAATGTCAGTCTGGTTAGGATTTAGCTGGCCTTAATGATTTTGTGCTTGTGAAAGTTAAGCAAATGAGAAGTACATTAAATAGGATGACAGAATGTAGATTACATAGTGCCTTCGCCCCCAACCACTGCATTTACCCAACTCTTTCTCTAATCTTTAATGCTATCTCCTATCTGCACCCCCCTCTCTCTTTCTCTCTCTCTCAATTTGTTAAGATGCTGAAATCTGCTTTGTGTGATTTATGAAGGAACTTGAAGCGATTAGTTTCACAGTGCATGAAAATTCCTCAGGTTCAGAGGGATGTCCAATCTGTTACACCAGGAACTGTTGACTGGATGAGAACATGAGCAGCTCGGAGCCATAAGGAGATTGTGTTGAGTTATTAAACACTTGTGGCAAAGCTGCTTATTGTTAATTCCCCAATGTCCTGCCGAAGTGGTTGGATAAGATCAGATCGGATTAGATCAAAGAGCCTGGGAACCGGCCTTTCGAGCAGATTCGTTTAATCAATAAAGAGGAGAGAGAGAGAGAGAGCAGCAGTACCAGGATCACAGGAGATTAGGGTAAGGAAAATAAGAAACAACAGATTTCCCCCCTCCTTTTTATTTTCAAAAAAGAATGTAACTGCATGCCAAGAAGTGGAGATTTTCCTTTATTCCTTAAAAAAAATCCCTTAAATTCCTGGGACTGTATCGGCATAAAGAGAAGAATAAATGGCTGCCTTTAAAACTTCATTATTGAACAGCCAGTTTAGAACCAAGCATTTCCTAATACAGTAATACTTCATAAGTCAAGAGGCTGTAAAAGTACTATTAAAGCAATCAGAGCTCTAAAATACCTACTGTGAAAAAAAGTATCAAGAAGTGGTTTTTGCTTAAATGATTCTCTTAAGAGGAAAAAAAGTGCTGGGTAGGTTAATATGCACACAAATTCAATCTTCCTTTTGCAGTGGGGAGGGAGTTTGACAAAAAGGAAGAGGGAAGAAAAACAAACTCCTATTTAACCTGGCGCTATGGATTAAAGGGAGAGTCATTTCTGGGGAGGTAGAACTGCTGTCTAAGAAACAGGAATGAATCAAAATGGCTAGCATAATTAATATGTAAATTGAATGTATGGTCGTTACTGGATTATGGATCATTACTCCGATTATAATCAAGGCAAAATGGTGGCCCACAATGGTCTTTCATATACTTATACACAACACTATTTTAAAAAGAATACCCTTAAAATCACTACCCATTCACAATTGCAACTCCATTTTCAATAAAATTGAAAAATAACAAGTCCAACTATGCCTTGTCTTTTTTTCTTCTTGGCAGTATTGGATTGGAGCCTCAAATGAATTAGCAAGGCAGGTGCCTTCAGAAAAATGATTGGCCTTAATAGTATTATGAAAGAATTACACTTTGCTTTAACAGAATATACTTTTATATCCCGAATTAAATGTGGGTACGTATCTATAAACCCATTCTATAAAACTTAATTTCCCATCCAGATATGCTGATTACCTCGGGCCCTGCATACCTTTACCGATAGTTAATTACTATGAACGCTTTAACACTATTTTCCAAATCAGCATGCATGCATAAAATGACTGCAATCTAATTTGACATATTATTAGTGATGATTATTGTCATAGATAAATTAGATTGAACAGAAAATAACCTTCATCCTTAGCATGTTTTAGCTCTCAGAATTAATGTGATTTGGTGAACACACATAAATAAAAATCTGATGAGTCCCCGCTGACTGGGAGGCCTGCTGGTGCTGAAGTGTATCAATTTCATGCAGATGATGAATTCCTTAAGCATTCAATGATAATCATGCTTGATTTGACAAGACTTTCTCATGCTATTTTAGGGCCTTAATTTTCTGTGAAGTTCTGTCAAGTGCTCATCAAGCACCCACTTATCTCCCGATCTTAACCTGGCAGCCAATCAGGGGGTTGCCTAACAGTGCCACGACCAAGTGCCGGGATATTAATATTCTGGTCATGTGACTGTCCAAGGAGAGAAGCCAATCAATGGCTGATTAACATGCAGGTCATGTGACTCCCAAGGAGAGTAAATGAGTTACACAGTAAGACATCAAACAAATTTTCATCTTGAAAGAGTGATTGCTTTTTCTGCTGCTGTGATGTTTGTCAAATTCACTCTAGCCTTGTCCAATTAAGCTCCATGAGATGAATTAATAATGAAGAGATGTAAGCACTCTGCCAGCATGATCTCTATGAGGAGAACCATAGAATGGAGGCGGATAGAGGGGGAGGGCGAAGGGGAAGAGATTTGAAAAAGACCATCTCAGGATGGCGGGTATAATTGCTATCTCAATGATGGGGCTGTTTTGTATTACTGAACTAAGCAAGCATTGCATTGTAGGGGGTAGAATTCAAAGACATGGCCATATTGGTTTGGAATATCAGTATATAAAGCACACTGGAAACTCACCAAGAGAATGAAGTTGGTCGCATAAGCTTCTGCAGACCAAGGGTGTTTCTACATTTCCAAACCGTGTGTCACAACACGTTTGTGTATAGGTGTGTCATGAAAATGTAAAGAGAAACCTTTGAGTCTTTGTGAAATAAGCATTACCGATGAACCATGGAAGCTTTAAAATGCTTGGTGATGAAATGCAAGTGTCTCTATCTAGTATTCTTCCAAATATTCAAAAGCTCTGCTCATCCCATCAGCCTCATACATCTCATTAAAATGGTGAGTAGTTATTTTAATAGTGTGATATATTTTTATTCTTGCATATATTTACATATATACTCATATATATTTACATATACAGTCATACATATATTTACATATATACACATATTTACATATATACTCATAAATGACCAAAATCATGGAAATGTATATAAGATATAAACGACAGGTTTCAATAAAACATGTTGTGTGCCCATACATTTTGTTATTACAGTATATATCTCTTACAAGAGGTTGGTGTAAGCTCCAGTTTGATACTAAAACTGAATTACTGTATTGCAAAATGATGCGTGTCTTAAAAGTATGTCACCAACATAAAACGTTTGGAAAGCTCTGGTCTCTGCTATTGAATTAATGCAGTTTAACACCACTTTTAGTTGTCATGGCTCAGTACTATACAATCATGGAAGTTATATTTTTAGAAGCTCTTCTCTCTACAAGAATTCCTCTCAATGCATTACACTTCTATATATCATATATTGAATTGTGTCTCTGTAGATGACTTCATGTTACCTGTCGACTCACAGAAATCCCATGAATTTCATTGAATTTCCCAAGGTAAGGAACACTCAGGAAGGTTTACCTCTTCTTCTAAAATTTAGCCTATAGATTAAGGTACTGATAATCTCCCATCAAGTGCTAGCCAAGCATGACCATGTATAACTTCTAAGGGTAGATGGGATTTGTTGCTTTCCTAATAATATTTTTTTTGCTTCTGTTGTGTGTGCGTGCAGATACTTGCATATAAGTATATTAGTATTAGTACACCTCCACTTTACAAAATATTTATTCACATCCATGACAAAAATTATCAAAATAAGTAATAATAATTAATAAAATAAAGCAAAGTGTCCATGGCAGTGTGGCTAAAAACAATATGAAGAGCTGGAAAAGTGGACCATCTCTAGAACAATGAACTCACTAGGGAAAAATGTGTGGCTGATTATTATGTCAGTCTTACCACTAGATGTGTGACGTGTGTGGCATTAATGGGGTCACTGCAGGGTGAATGTGAACTGGGAAAATGTGTCTCAAAAGAGTCCCCTCCAGTATACGCAAGCTCTTAGACAATATTAGAGACCATGCAGGCTATACTGGACTCAATAGGTTACAACTACTAACTCTGTGCTATTTAATGATTTATGGAACAAAATCAATATCTTGAACTTTTGTCAAATACATTGTGAAGGGCTATTCAACCTGAATGTTGACAGAAAATGTTTCTTTAAAGGGAGTTTTGGCATAAAAAACATTGCCTTATTTTGTCAAAAACTGTCTGTCTGGTTGTAAAATCAACCTTGAGTGTCAAAAGCATGGAAAGTAGCACACAGGTATATATCTATCCAGTTATTTTTTAAAAAAATAAATACCTTAATTTGTGTTCTTGTATTGAAAGAGAAATTCTAAGACAAGGGCAATGGCGTTGATTACTTAGAATCTTCTTTACATAAGTGCTGAATCTATAGACAAGAAATGCAAAAAGGTTTCTGGAACAATGATTTATTAATTGAAGTAGTTGTATTTATTCCAACTGGCCCATTTCATTTGGTCTGTCACTAAATTAAATTCATATACAGAAACATAAGTGCACATTTAAATACAATTATAATCCCGTTTAGCAAGGACATGCTTAATGTGGATTTCCACCCTCTGAAAGCAGCACTGTGAGTTTTATTCAGTCGGAAAGTAAATTGCATCTTACTGCCGATCCTATGCTAAATTGTGGTGACATGTTTAGAGCAGAGACCCTATGACTAATAAAGCTTTCATCCACTCACTGAAAGGAGTTAGTCACCTAATGGATTTCTGGTGATATGAAAGAGAGTGTCGGATCCTACTTATTAAGTTCTAGTATGAAATTAGTTAAATTCCCAAGGCATTCTAAAGCAATATATTCTGGTCGACTTAACAAGAGTGTTAGAGCATGCCAATTAGCTAGCAATCTGAAATAAACAGTAGTTACAGAGAGAGGGGGAAAGCTTATATCTGCAAAGTTAATAACATTCATAATGGGACTTCTTGGTATGGTGGCTCAAGATGCTGTGAGAAAGCAAGATGTGGAACATACTATATTCAAAAGATCATAAGTCAATTCCCAGTGCTTCTAGTCAAGGATTTAAAAAATTGTGAATAAGGAAGCAGTGATTTTCTGGTTGTTGATAGGCAGGGAAAATGAAACTAAGGCAACAGAGTATTCAGTCTTCCAGAGACAAAAAAGAGAAAAATCAAGGACACGTTTAAGAAGTCAAGTGGTAATGCTTGATACATGAAATTGCTGTTTCTGAAATCTACAAACTTTTAACTCAGCTCCTAAGAATACTTTAAAGGACAACAGGTATTCTGACATATGTTGGAGAAAACAGAACTTGGAGGCTAATGACTACTTGAACATACATTTCTTGCAATTTCATTGTACAGAAACAGGTATCTAGGAAATACTAGACCTGTTTAGCTCAAGTTATTCATAGCCAACATTCAGTAGAATTCAGTCAGATCCATTGCTTAAATAGTTACCATATACATTGGAGTTAGGGGATCAGTTCCCCTATGAAAATGGGGTATTTGGAGTTGACCATGGAACTGAACTGGAGAACCTAGAGATTCCTAGAAAAGTGTTCTCTCTAGGAATCTCTAGGTTTTTCAGGTGACTATATAATCCATGTCTGCCATAGGTTGACCATGAAGTTGCCCTGAAGAGAATCTTAGAGATAACATATTAAACACATCTGCAAATAATCATATCTGTGAAAGTTAAACCTGCAAATATGGAAGCCTGACTATACTCTGACAATGTCTGTTCAGCTCCTACATTGAAAGTRTATGCACTCCCTGAGTTATGGTCTCTCATCAACTACAATCCATAGTTTTGAAATAAGAAATTAATTTCAGATTTATTGTGTTTTAAAAACATTTCTTTTGTAATCAAGCACCCTTGTAGGCAGGGGAGTCGCTACAGGGGTTGGGGTTTAGGTGGGAATGAGAGCATTCCACTTCATGGTGAGAACTCCCCCCCCCCCATGTAGTTGCCTTCAATTTCCAAATTTATAGCATTGCAGGGAGTGAGAAATACAAAACTACTTACACCTAGAACAATAACAAATCCTATTGGTAACACTGCCTGCCCCATTTCTGTGGATACCTAGCTCTATTTCTAAAAGCAAGAAATGAGTGGAGTGTGGGAAAATGCATGGGGAGGTAGAATCACTATATGGGAGCCTCCCTGTGGCAGATGGTTTGAAACTCAGAAGGGGAGGAGTGCAGAACATCTCTCAAAAACATCAGTAGTCACCATTAGCCATATTCTTCTCTCTTCAATCAAGATGGACAAGGCATTGCCCCGCAGCTACATGTGGTCCCTACATCTGTTTATATGTCTCCAAATCCCTCCCCCAGGTTCTCATGCATCTATCTTTTCATAGCCAAAAATAGGGCAAATTGTATATCCTGGAAGCCTCCAGAAAATGTGATTCGTCTTTCAATAGGTCACATAATTACCTGTACTGTAGAATACACACATCATTGTTCAAATCCAAAAGTGGACCTTGGGGCATTCCCATTTTTTATTGTTGTTGTTCATTAGTTTGTTTTGTTGTGTGTGTGTTTTTGGGAGGGGTTGCAATTTGAGCAGCTCTCTAGACAGTCACAAGAAAAAATTAGCTCTCAGGCCTGCTGAAGCTGTTCACCTGTGGACTGGATGGGGAAACCTCTTTCTACCCAAATGTCAAATTGTTGCTGGATCCTTGATTCTACCAATGGAGAGGGCCAAAGGCAAAAGGAATAAATCCAAAATGCCATCTAATTTTAGCTTACAATTCTACCTATCAGTACCTATGCCTAAGGAGAATTATTTCAACTTTTTAGAATGAGGAACAACACATGGTTTTGCAGCCAAATGATGGTGCTATGGGGAAGTTTGGAAATCAATGAATTGCAGTGCTATGGGGATGGTTTATGGCCTTCTGATGTACTCTGGAGAGCCAGATTCAGCCTCAGGGACTGAGGTTCTACTTCCCTGTACTGAAATGAAGCTATTCTTAATTTCCATGACATTTCATTCTTGACTTCTTATTGGGCACTTTTGATTTTGCTGGATATTATCAAAATCCAATTCTCTGAAGTAGAAAAAGTTATAAAATAGAAATAATTTATGCATGCTATTTACAGAAGATGGGCACCCACCTTTCTTACTTGGTGCAACGCAGATACAAAGTATCACATGTTTCCCCCTCCACACAAAAATCCTCATCTTTGTGTTGCAGCAATATTAATCATCCAAACATTGATATTGGCTGTTGTGTTTCCAACAGCATCATTCATCTTCAGCTATCATAACACACTTCAGAATTAAATATTTGCTACATATGAAACATCATCTCATTAAGCTGTATTTTACCTACTAGTATTGCAACTGTGCCAAGAACAACTCAAGTGCTTACAATGATTAGCTGATTAAATATTAACCAAAAGAAAATAGCCAATATTATTATAAGTACTGAGAGTCAATGGCACCTTTAAATCAACAAACTCAAAGATGTCCAACTTTCTGTCTGGTGTTTTAAGCAGTTAGGAACAACAACAATGACAACAACTTATTCTACTTTCTTTGCATAACTTTGCATAATTAATAGTTCTTTTTCTATGCAATCTATTGTTTGCAATATTTTTTTTGTTTCAACAGCTGTTTTCATTAAATTGTAAAGCTCTTTGTGCCTAATCCTTTGAGCTGCACTATTGATAGCAAGAATGCTCTGAAGCTAGCTTTAGAGGAAGTGAGTCTCTGCCAAGCTGGAAAACAGTCATGAAGTTACTTGAGAAATAAGGCCTACAGTGGTAGTGGTTGTGTAGCTAATCCATTAGTCTTTTATAAGGACATTGCTCTGCACCCTTATGGCTAAATTGACCCAACAACCAATCAATGCCTTTATTTGCTGAGTGGCTGTCCCTGAAAGGTCTTATTGCAGGATCCAGGCAGTAATCAAAGCTTCCATCAGTACCAGGCACTGATGACAAAAATGGCCAAACTTTCAATGAGGTTGGCTCAATTCCAGTCACACCATTTTGAAGATACAAAGAGCCTGTGTTGTGCTGTGGAATTCATTTTCTTGTTTACTTCCTACAGAAACAAGAGCATAATCAGGACTCAGTGCATCGGATCAGACCGCTGAGTTGTTGACAGAAGCTCAGAGAGGCTTGCCAGCTTTCCACATGAAACACAGGCTTTCTTCTAATACACCCCCTACCGTCTGTCTCTCTGCCAATTGTAGCACATCAGAGCAGCCATTGAGATAATGACCGTGAAGTCTCATGATACACTTTGATGAAGTGTAACATTTTTTAAGGGATTTTTGTCTGTGCCAAAGTGATAGAGACAGCTGACTAAAAATCACCCCATCAAAATCAAGGCTGGTGAACAGCAGGCAGAGACATGTGTTTCCAGCGAAGAGAGAGAGAGAACAACTTAGAGCCAATGATTTTCCCAGTGAGTATCTGCAACACATTTTCTTCCCATTTTTTTTTAAAAAAGTCATTTTGTTGTTTTACAGTGTACACAAATTTATTGGTAATATGCACTTGCTAAACAATTATCTGTTCCTCACCAAGGGAAGAAATAGTTCAACAGAATATAATTTTGGATGGGTATCGATAGCTGACTGTGCTATTATAAAATTCAACTGCATGTCAAAGAAGGATCTATGGAAAAGAACAAATAAGTTTTAAAAATTGTGGAATACAGTATAAATCCTTTGTACATGACAATATTATGTAGGACAGTTGAAGGAACAGAATGGGATATTGATCATTTTCCTGCCCCAGGTCTTACACTGTTCGGTCAAAGGTTTAAAGAGAGCCATCAGATATAAAAATGAATACATGATGGTGAAAGCTGACACTATTACATTTTCCAAATAAACAAAGTAGCTGGTATCCATTAACCTCTGACACACTAACTTCTTCGGTCAAGTACAGTACAACCCCCATTTTTGTGGGGGATGTTCTTCTTTGCGTGAATATGTGAAACCATGCACAATAGTGAATCCTATTGAATTGAAGGACTTCTACCCCAAGAATACCATAGAGTCATGCTGAAGGGCCTAGAAAATGCATAAAGAAAACAAATGCATAGAGAGAATATGGGACATAGATAAAAGTAACCATGGATATTTGTCATATGGGTATGAGAATTGTAGTGCATGTAGAAACCAGAAACAGGGACAATGTACACAATCCAAATTCCTTCCTTAAGTATACTTGACAGTTTCCTTGTTTGTTTAATTTATGGCGTGGGCTACCTTTAGCTGTCCAAATATTTTGCATTACAACTCCCCCAATTCCTTACCATTGAACACTGGAGTAAAAGATCTTTATGTTTGGCTTGGGCAGTATTCCCATTATCTTGATCCTAAGCCTTAGGAGTCAGACATAGTACCTTGAACTGGATGTGGAAATTGTTTGGAAGCCCCAAGCCCCATCTACATATAATCCAGTTTCTGAATGCAGATTATCTGCTTTGAATTGGATTATATGACAGTGTAGATTTATATGACCCAGTTCAAAGCAGATAATCTGCATTCAGAAACTGGATTATATGACAGTGTAGATCCTGCCCCAAAACTGAAGCACTGGCATGACATGGTCTTTTCAACCAGATCCACCTAACTGACTTGGACCCATACTCTTGAACCAACTGAAGCTTCCAAAATAGTTACAGAAACTGTTTCACAATGTAGTGGAAGAAAACCTGTTTATCATTAACCACTGTGAAGTCAATGCTGATTTATTTCTTTTGCAGGAGGAGGAATTGACACAGAGACCACTCCAGATCTCTTAACAATGGTTAAGAAGAAGCCAGCATTATGTCTACACTAGCCTGACCTTAGAAGTATTTATCAAGACACACCTGTCAGAATTCATATGTTAGTAAAGAAGAGCCAAGATCTGATGCACACATGAAGTAGCTACACTTGCCTATAGTCAGAAAGGAGTTCTCCCAAATGTTTAAGTTAAATCTCTCTCTACTGCTATATATTCGTGAATATAATTCCAAAGCTAATAAGTACATCTAGGGTGCATCCAGACTCATATATTGTTCCTTTTCTTTCCAATTTTATTTTTGAGATTCATACATATTTTGGACCTCTACACACAGGTATATTGGGCTATGCTGTTGTGCCACTAAAGGGAAGGTGCGCAGGGCAGATTGTGATGCCCTGTGTGCCCTCCGTACTTTCTTCATCACACTGCGAGGATGGGACAAGGTGTGTTGGCACGTTTTCCTTCCTCCTATCAGATGGTGGAAAAGGCAGCAATGCACGTTGCCCCACCACCCTTTCTGCCATCACATGGCAAAAGGGGGAGGAAAGTGCAGGTAGCTCTATTGGAGCTACCCAAACAACACTTTCCTCCCTGTAGTGGTAGACTTTGGGAAAAATGTGGGCAGGACTGTCATGCATTGTGTGATGGTGCATGGCAGGCCCTGTCCAAGCCACGCATAAAAGTGGCCAAGTGGAGCAAAAATGCATTTTAATGCAGTGATTTTAGTTGTGTTTGTTAAATTTTGTTGTTAAGTTTTAGCTCATGCTTTTTAAAAACAATCTCTGGGGGCCCATCCACACAGTACCTTTATCCCAGGAGCTCCCAATTCAAATTGGTGGATGGTCAAATGACATCCCCTGAAAACACTGGAGAAATTGCTACAAAGCACTAAAAACATGAGATTTTCAGTTGCAGGAATATCCCGGTTCTGGCCAGAAAATGTAGCTATTTGAATCTCTGTATGTCAATACACTCAGAAAATACAGATTTTTTTAGTTGGTTTGTATATGTCGGTTCCTGTTTGGGTGTATCCTCAAAACATGGCAACAATTGACTAGAGGATGAAAACTTTATCCTGACAACAGAAACTTCATCGTCAACACGTTTAATGAAGTTTCTGACACACAAACAAAGGTTTTGCCATGTAATCAACTTACCCCATCTTTCAGGATAAAAGTAATGAGGAACAGATATGTATGACCTAGAAAAAAACTCATATGAACAATGCAAATATTCGTATCTGCGCATTGATTTTTTTTTAAAGCTGAAATTTCTGGCGGACATCCTATATCGGCCATTTTGCGGGTTTTAATATCCTGTAATGAAGCAGCAAGTCTAGACATTGCAGGCAGAAATCCCAGGATCAACAGGTCTGTCTGCAGACCTGCTCTCAGGTCCCGGGTTTTTTCCCCCTATGGAAAGCCTGCTGTTTGGTGCTGTCTGGAAGTGCCTTGGATAAACATGACATTTAAAAGGCATGCATAAGGTCCTAAGAAACATCCATTAAAAGAGTCAGGTAGCCTGTGATGAAAAACAAGAAAGCTACTGATAGAATAGGCAGTGATTAATAGATGGCAAATAGTCATTTTTGGTACAAGGCAATATCCTTGAATCCAAACAGGGTTTTTGGGGTTTTTTTTTTACAACAGATAAGCCAAACATATGTAGGAGGGCTGCCTTTCCTGAAAATGGTAGGCCCTGGCTTCAGGCAATGAATTACTGAACCTCAGTGCCATATTTCCTCTGACCTCAAGTAACTTCATCTGCTCAAGTTACTGATGGGCACCCACATATTTTTCCAAATTAAAACCATCTCTTTCATGGGATTGACATTATGCCACACTTCATAACTGCATCTATATTCTTCAGTGACATGGCTAGGCATGTTTTTTTAGATTCCGGGATTTATTGTCTTCAATATGCACTTAAGTCAATCTCGGTGCATTTGTACCCTTTCCTATTCATTAGGGCCCAAGGTCCTGAGTTTTTCATGTCAAGATCCTGACCTGACTGTGTCATTGTGCTCTCTAATCAGTGAAATCCACATGGAGAGTTTTTGCCTATATGTGGGAAACAATTTTTCCTGTTCAGATTATCGATAAACAAGGGCAAAACCTGTGTACCCATCTCCCCCCATTTATGATTATAAAAAGCCTGAATATAGGGTGTTCTGATTAAAAGTACACTACAGGGCATTTGATTCCCAGTTTTAACTGATTCTTAAGAAGTTTTGCCCAGTCCTATCATCTACTCACATTTATATGCTAGACACAGATAATCAACCCACAACCCAAATGACTCATTCAGTTCAAGGGAAATCGGGGTTATTGCCAGATCCAAGGTAAGGTTTACTGTGGATAATCTGTTCTGTTGCTCCACTTCCAGCTGAACACAAAGAACATGATATTTTGTTGTTATGCATGGTGCACATATATTTATGTTAAGTTTTTTTAAAGGAAGCCCCAGTACTTGCAACAATAATCATTAGTTTCTAGGAAAGATATATAAGTTTGTTTCCCTCCAAAAACACATTTACAGGCAGTCCCCAAGTTACAAATATTTGACTTACAAAGACTCACAGTTAAGAATGAGGGTAAGACAACAGGAAGGTAAATTCACCCCTGGAAGTGTTATCATGGGGAAAAGGTGTCTCAGGTGAAGCTTTATATATATATGGCTGGAGTTACACTTAAAAATGTACCTGTTCTGACTTGCATACAAATTCAACTTAAGAACAAACTTATAAAATCTTGTTCATAACTTGGGGACTGCCTATACATGCTTAAAGTACTACCAAAACTTTTTAAAATTCTACGGAGTGTTTTTAAATGATTATGTGTTTTGATTATGTGTTTCAGCAATGTTGTAACCTGCCTTGAACCATGAAGAGAGGTGGGTAATAAATTATTATTATTATTATTATTATTATTATTATTGCCTAGAGATAAAGCTTGGGTTGATGAATGGGTGGCATTACCAGCTATGGTACACAGCTATAAAACACAACTGGTGATGTCATTAACAACTCTAATTTTACATGTCAAACCTGAAGTTATTCCTATTTCTAATGGCACATGTGAGATATGCCACCCTCTGTCAACAATACCGTTTAGCACTCTACACTGGGGAAACAGGCCAGTTTCTGTCACAGAAGATAAATGGACATAAACCAGATATTAGGAATGGGAATACACAAAAACTACTACAACAACCACTACAGAACATTTCAGTCTTCCTGAGAAGCCCACCTCTGATTTCAGAACAACAACAACAACAACTGTAAAGGAGACTGGAAAGAGAAAGAGAAACCTGCCCAAACCCTAAGATTATCAGGAGAGGCCCTACTTTTGCTTCCACCACCATCCCAAATACAGTTGGCGGTGATGGGAGAGAGGGCCTTTGCGGTGGCTGCTCCACAGCTCTGGAATACTCTCCCCAGGGATATCAAAATGGTACCCTTCCTACCATTGTTTAAACAATAGATGAAAACTTTTCTATTCAAAAAAGCCTTCAGTGAATAAACCTTATACTGAAGAGACGAGAAGGCTCAACCTTCATTGGGTGGTGTGAATATGCAATAAGATATGACAGGACAATACAATAATGTTTGGTCTTGGCGGAAGTGCAGCGAGAGGGGCCGGGCTCCGTTTCCTAGAGAGG